AGTTTCACAGCTTTCTTTTTAGTCCAAAAAGGACTGAGTGATCTCTCAGACAAAATTTAGAATCTTGTTGCAGACCTCTGTTGTGTTGAGCAAGTCAAAAATGTTGTTCATCCTGCTAAAGATCATCTAAAACCTAAAATTAGGTCCTTTTTAGGTTTTGCTAATCTGCAAAAAAGTGGTAAATGCTTTTATTGACTCTCAACTTGATTACTGCATCGCACACTGTCAGCCAGGGCTCCCTTCATCCTATCTCAGTGGTGATGGTAAGATGCAGTGTCTTTATTAAAGTGTAAAGTTGACGAATCACCTTCGTGCACAAATCATACATCAATAGTAGCCTAATTGTATGTATAATCCATGATATAGGAAAATAAAAATGCATGGCATAAATAACATATTGTCAACATAGTAGAGACCTGTAGTTCACATCCTGATCACCTTAATCACCTCAATTAGTTTAAAAAATATATTAATCACTTTTAAAGATGTAACTGACTCACTCCCACATACATGTCTGATTTATTAACCTTAATTCCTAACCTAAATTCATTAACCTTGTATGTGCCCCCTCTGCCCTTGAGATCCGTGGATGCAGCCCTGCTGGTTACTCCCAGGTCATAGTGTATGACTCAGGGTAATCTGGGTTTTGCCATTAGAGCCTCCACAATATGGAACTCACTGCCTAGTGAACTGAGACACACTATATCTCCTAATTATTTTATATCTCTTCTTAAAACCTTCTTGTTTTAAAAAAAAGTGTATTATTGTTATTCATTTCCCAACTTCAGGTGTGCAAACACCAAGCAGATCCTCACAACTAAAAACCAATGCACATACAAGTCCTACATATTTTAGTAGGAATAATCTGGCAGTGTATATGTTAAAAGTTTGCATTCAAGAAGGACTTGCAACCCCCCACCCCCCTGAAGCTTGGTGACCCCTTGTAGGGGTCCGGCCCCCTAGATTAGGAACCACTGTGCTAGCTTATATCTCACTGCAGCTCTTTGCCAGTAAAAGATGTTGTCAGTGCAGCTGTAACACTCTGTTTCCCTCTCAGTTTGGCCACTCAGGTGTGCCACAGCTGTTTCCGGCACCAGGCCAATCTGCACCGCTGTGCCCAGTGTAAGTTTGCCCACTACTGCGACCGCACCTGCCAGACTGCATGCTGGGACGAACACAAGCAGGAGTGTGGGGCCATCAGGAAGACCGGCAAGGCGCCCAGCGAGAGTGTTCGGTAAGTCCACCCTGCATGGACCTGCAAGAGACGAACTGTATTAGAACCTTGTTGGGAGTAAGTGTTCCTGGTACTCTGCATTGTCTGGCACAATCAGTCAATGAGATCTATCAACCGATTATGCACACAGACGTTGATTGAAGGTTTCTGTCTCACTGCCCAGTCTGGCTGCCCGCGTGCTGTGGCGTATTCACAAGGACACAGGCATTGTGTCGGACAGTCAGCTGGTTTCCGTGGACCAGCTGGAGGACCACGTGGCCGACCTGCCTGAAGAAGACGGCAAGAAGCTCAAGACTGACGTGCACAGCTTCCTGGAGTACTGGTCCTACGGACGCAAGCAGCACTCCGTCGAAGACATCTCACACATCTTTGGCATCGTGAGAATAAATGCTTCATGAGCTGTCTTGGCACATTGCATACAGAACCTTTAACTCTGAAAGACCTTTTTGGGGGAGGCACCTGACTCTCCTGTATCTATGTAGTTTTTCTAATATCTTCTGCCAGTGAAGATCAAGTACCATACACCATTTGGTTATGAAGAACATTAAGTTTCAGTCTGGTTGCAATTATATTTAAATTTACTAGATTTATTTTCAAAACATTATTTTTTTTACTGTGGATCTGGAGAGAACCTCAGCAAGTTTATTTTTTTCATTTAGAAAGTTGTACTTAGATGTTTTAGACTTCCAAAATGTTTTTTGTAACTTTCTTAAACTAGTTAGATCCATTTATCATAATATTATCCTAGGTGTTTTTCAGTGAAAATGTGTATTCTTATATTTCATTTCATGTAGATATGTACAAAAAAGAGTAAATAGAAAGGTTATTATATCATAAAAGAGAATAGACAGTAAAGTAAAAGTGACTTTTTTTAGATATTAGGAAAGACATCTACAGAAATAAATAAATGATTATAAATAATAATAAGAATAAGAGTTTACAAAGTGCGTTGACAAACAAAACAAAATGATATACAAAATGTAATAATATATAAAAATAATGAATACCAAAAAAAGCAGAATAGAGGCCACAAAAATAAAATAAATAAATATAAATAAAATTTTAAAAATCAACATTTCTGCTCTCTAGCTTGGGGCTAGATATAGATGTGCTTTAAAAGTCATCAGTAAAATCTTTAAATCAATTCTAAAACAAACAGGGAGCTCACTGCAGAGAAGCCAGGAGTGGGGTGATGTGGGATGTTTCTGTTAAAACCTTCCTCCCCTCCCTACCCTCCTCCTCCTCCTCCTCCTCCTCCTCCTCCTCCTCCTCCCCCTCTCTCTGTATCTGTAGATCAAGTGTAATGGTTTCACGCTGAGTGACCAGAAAGGCCTGCAGGCCGTCGGCGTGGGTCTTTTCCCCAACCTATGTCTTGTCAACCATAACTGCTGGCCCAACTGCACCGTCATCCTCAACCACGGCAAGTAGGTATCC